AGTGAGATATTTTGTTCTCTGTCTCTTGGTAAAAGCTCTTGCCCATATTCAGTAAAAAATATTCCAGTCCAGAAGCAACTATATTATCCTGTTTGCTATAATTGAATTTGCAAATGCTCTTTAAATCTTCCCAGTTATAGAATTCAACATTCCCTTGAGGAACACAGAAAAATTCTGAGTTGATTTTACACAATATAGAGGGAGTGTATGTTTGCCAATTAAAGAGGCTAACAAATTGTGATGGCTGTGATCCCAAATGCCTTTTTGTCAAGCCCTGGAGATCCCACTGACAGCCATTACCAAAAACTGGCAATGCAGCTTCCTGCTGTTTTGAAAAAGAAAACACATGAAATACTATAAGGTAAATAAGTGGGGGTTGTTGTTGTTTTTTTTTGGTGTGTACATGCCTTTGAGTCAGCGTTGACTCTTGGCAACTGCCTGGACAAGCCATGCAGTTTTCTTGGCAGGATTTTAGGAAGTGTTTTTGTCTTGTCTTCTTCCTAGGGCTGAGAAAGAACGATTGGCTCAAAGTTACCCAGCAGGCTTTGTGCTTAAGGCAGCATTAGAACTCAGAGTCTCCCAGTTTGTAGACTAATATGGAGAATATCTATGTAGTGGCTGAGTCAACACCAACTTGATGTCACATAATTAATCGTTTAAAACATCCCCAAATTCTCAGAAAAGAAAAACTTAACTCCACAGATATGCCTGACATGACCCTACTCCACACTTTTGTTCCTCCCCTGAAGCCCTCACCCTTCAAGCAGAGTTGAAGGTTGCCCACCTATGATGATACTCAGATAAAACATTCTGGCTGCCCTCTCTCTGAACAAGCAAGAAGAAAAAGCCAAGAACTATGTCTCTTGATTTTTGCTTGTGAAGAAAGGCACATGTGAGAGTTCCTGGTGTGCGCATAATGATAATGAAGCCACAGAGGAGAGCTGAATGGGTTTTTTTTAGCTACACCTGCTGGCAGGAAGGATCAAGCAGAAATGACAAGATAACCCTGCATGATGCTTGTTCGTGGGTAAGCATGAGAATTCTGGCTCATCCCTGGTTGTCAACCCAGCAACAACATGTCTCTTATGGGGTGGGTATTTTTTAAAAACCTCAAGCTGCTTATTTTTCAATAAGTAACTCATTTTAAATAATATTCAAACCATAATCCTGTTCAGATTTTACCGTTTAACACGGTCAGTCCAGCATATGAGTGGTCTCGTCTCCTAGTCACACTGGAGACAGAACTGAAGAGAAAATCTCCCTGTTTACAGCATGGTTATCTTCAGCAGGCAGTCTTGGTGGACAAATGCTTCCATGTGAGCCTTGCAGCCTTGAGAGGGGAAAGTTCCAAGTCAAGTGGTTTGTAGAAAGCTAAGCTGAATAGGAAAGGTGAGGGCTTGCTCACCATTCCTCAACTTTTGGATTGAGCATACACAGGAAAACCTGAGCAGGAATTTTGGGTTTATCAAGTTAAAAACTCCATAGGTTAAGAGAACTATGCTCCATCAAAGCAAAGGCCTAGCTCAGCATTCTGACTCATCGTGGCTAACTAGATCCCTGTGACAAGTCTAGGACATAATCATGCACCCATCTGTCTAATTCCCTTTTAAAGCTATAGAAGCTGATGGCCACCCCTACATCTCATGACAGCGTGCTCTCCCATTTATTTATGTACACAAAGCTTTTTCCCCCCCATTGTCCTGAATTCCCTACTGAGTTACAATGGACAATTCTAGAATTATGAAAGAATCTTCCTACTCACATTTTTCATACTGCACATAATTTCATAAGCATCTATCATTCCTCCTCGGCTATTAAAATATTTAAATATCTCAAACAATGTGACTTTCCCTTACAGGCAGGTTGCTGCCATCCCATAATCATTTGGGCTGCCCTTTTCAGCACTTTTGCCAGTTCTGCAATTTCCTTTTCAAGGTGTATGGACCAGAACTTATAAAGAAAGGAATCACTGGTTTAAGGAGTCAGTATCCAACTCCAACTTGAATAAACCAGTTTTTATATAATATTGGAGAAAAGATGACAGCATTAGCTCTTATTTATTAGTAGCCAAGTGGAATGACTGCAGCTGAGAAAGAGATGGAGGCAATGTGTTCACTCCATTGAATCAGCTAGGTCCCTTTTGACTTCTCCCCCTCCACCACCATTTGGCTACCATTCTACTTGGCTCTTGCTGAGGAAGAAGTGAACTGTTATAAGAATGATATTACAGTACAACTTTCAGAAATGAGGGCCTGAATTTCCCTATCCATCTCCTTTGCACTGATAATTAAACAAAAATCAACCAATATGCATAAAGATCAGAATATGGCTAACACCACAAAACTAAACAAATGAAATATCTAATTACAGTGTTATTTAAAAAAATAAAATAAAACGTGTATATTACATTGATGCCCATGAGCAGGAAGTCTTTTTTTTTTTAAGAGATCTTAGCACCACATCTAAGATATTTTAGCCTTTTTGTGAATACAAATAATTAACAAACAAAATATAAATTAATAAATTGGTGATACAAAAGGAAGAATAAATAAATGAATTATTAATGAAATTATGGCTTCAAACTGATTTTAAATATTAGGCATTGAAGCAGCTTCAGGATTCTTCTTTAACCTAACTAAATGGAAATACTATTGAGAGCAAAATTGTCATACTTCTTCCATATACAAGGATTGTTGTAGAAAGCAGTAAGTTACCACTTAGTAAGAAATATTTTATAAACATACATGTAATGATAATTGTACTTAAAGAATGTAAATAAAGCCTCTCAAATACTCATCTTTTTAAATTTTAATGTTAACCTGAAACTATTTGGTTAAACATACAGAAATAGCATTTTCTGATTTTACACTGAGAATTAAACAAACACCATGATTGTCCCAAAGCTGAAGCCCAACATTTTTCTTTTATTAATGTATCAGCATTTGGGAACAATTTTCCAATCAACATGTATGTTTATATCAGAATAATTAAAATTTACATTCATTGATAAGAAATCAAAATCAGAAACTGAGGAGTTGTGAGGCTGTGCTGCCAAGCTAGTGGAATTTTGGATGTAGGTTTTTTAAACAGCTAACAGACGCTCCATGATAGGCTCTACTTTCCTTTGCATCTTCCTTCATTTTAAAAGCCTTCAGCTATACATCACTGAGAGGCTTGCTCATTGTTTGAACAGAAAAAAGACTAAGACTGGCTCTGGACTAGATTCATGGTTGCTTAGATTTTGATCAAAACAATCCTTTCTCTCCATAAATATACAACTTACATAACCTGCAAAAAACTTTATTCTCTTTACAACCTCCTCTCCTTCATTTACACATAGTTAATTATTGCACTGAAATGTCTTTTGCTAGACAGTGTGATCTAGCAGTACTGAAATTATGTGGTTTTTACATGTAGAAGACAAATTCTATAATGAATAAAAAATTAGGTCAGTGGGTATTACATGATATCTTGCAATAAATGGGACCCCAGAGAATGTAGTACAAAAGATCAATTTTTATTACAGTAATTTTGACTCTGGTAGGTGTAAAATGCACAGCTCCTTCCTTTAATAATAAGCGGAATAATAATGTATTGAGAGTGACCCTGTTATTTTATTAATGACTGATTCTATCCTTTGTTTAATAATGATTATAACTCGGGAAAGGAGAGAGCAATGCTAAAATGTGTTATGAGGAGACAGCTCATCAAACAGAGAGAAACCTTCATTATCAGTATTAAATATAGGCTTCAAAAGAGGCAGAATCGCTATATAGGGCTGGCACGGAAAGAAAAATATAAATATCAATTTTTAGGCTAGTTAAATAAAAATTTGACAGATGAAGGAAATTTATCCACTGTTTCCACTTCACATTTCAGGAATCCCAGTCCAAAAGCCAGCCATGCAGAGTTCCTGATTAGAAACACTAAGACAACATCCACATATTATATTTTTTTGAAAGGGAAACTCTTTTCCTCCCAAATAATTCCAACTTTAAAATAGAAGATCTGTCTTAAGAGTCACATGGAATGTGGTGGAAAAAAATTTTTTTTTCTCTGCAGGTTAGAAAGATAACCCTGAATTTAAGAAGATCTTTCCTTCCAAATCCTGACCATCATGAAAGGAAGATTAAACAGAAAATCTATTTAGGTATACGATTGAAAAGGACGAGAGCAGCAATTCTATCCTGTAGGATTGTTCGTGGTTATATTAAATTCCAATTTTCTCATCAGAAGTCTAGAGGTCACCTCATTTAAATTCAGGTTTGCCTTCAGTTGGGTAAATATGCTGTGTGGAAGTTTCAGTGGAACTGCAAATCCCAAGGACATATTTCAATACATTTATAGTAATTAAACAGAAGTTACATGACATCTCAGGAAGAGGTCACCCTGTTTATATAACTAGGGTCCATAACTGTATGAAATCACCATCACCATCCTCCTCCTCCTGCCTTTTCTCCAAGAGCTCATGGAGGTTTACAAGGGAGGCTCCCTTCATTTTATCCCTAGAACAACAACCTTGTAGGGCAGTTTGGACTATGAGAGAATGACTGATTCAGAGTCACCCAGTAGGTTTCCATGCTTGAGGTGGATTAGCATCCAACTAAGCAACCAAGTGTCACTGAATGAAATACAACGACAAAATCACAACTGACCAAAAAAGGGGGAAAAAAATCTCATGCACATGCACCCAACACAACCCAAGATACTCCAGAGCCATGTAACCTAGTAGCACCAAACTCCTTTGAGTTCCTGGCTAAATGATAGTAGGGAAATCAACATCATTTTCAATGCATTTTTCAATGCCAGATCTGAAATACATAAAGTGTAGAATAGGACTTTTAAGTTATGTACTAGGTTTGAGGGAACTCTTTACAACTAATGTATGGTGCCATCCTGAATTGCCCTTATAGGTTACCAGGTGATTTAACCTCATAATAATACACACACCTATACATAGAGTTTTGTCACAAAAGTAAGACATTCAGTAGTTTCTTTACCTCTCTGGAACTGGGAGCTTGGGGCAAAGCTTAGCAGCGCTTAAATGTGTAGTGTATTCAGATGGCTTTAACTCATAACTACATAAAGCAGAACCTGTTTAAAGCATAAAAAACAAAACAGAACATTACTTGATGAAGAGTGATACAACACATCCATTAACTTGAGAAATACAAATATTATAGCATTCCATGATGCAATAGAAAACGCCATGTACAATATAGATTTTCTGAGACCAATGTTGTGCTTAGGTAAAAAGGAAATGCTGTGTTTTTAGAAATTCTTCATTAGATTGATCTCAACCATTATTCAAATAATTACAAACAAAAACTTCAGGAACTATTTGGAACAGGATCGGCATGAGGACTTCTTGCAGCAGTCTAATGTAAAGCACTGAGGAGTTCCTTGCAAGGACCAACAATTATGACATGAGAGAAAGTTCATATCATTAATGAGAATGGGAGATCTTCACATAGAACGGATTATTCATCACTCATTTTACAACCACCACATGGAGCAGCCATCTTGCAGAAACTCTTATAAGCAACCTTCATATGATTAATATAACATGAACATGGAAAGTGAATGGGTAGGTGGAAAAGTTATTTTTGAGTTTAGTATGATTTTACATGGATAATAAATGTTGTCAAGGAAAAGAAGTTTATGAAATAAGGAACATATATATATATATTCCTTCAATAAGCTGGGCCTAGATGAAAGGAATGCAAAATTCTATAATCTGGAACTTTGCATTTTGCTAGTTGTGCTTATGTCTCCTCTGCTACAACTTTACGAAATAAACCAACATTGTTCTCCTGAATAATACCACCTAGTCTAAACTAAAACAAGGAATGTATTTCTATAGCTTTCAACTTGAATCAATTATAGACTTCCCCAGGCTGATGCCTATTCTTTTATAAGGAAGAACGCTAGAAATCTATTTAATTTTTATGTCACAGAGCTCACAGCCCATCAGAACTTTTATTAGCACTGTACATCTTAATAGCATTCCTTTTATCATCTTTATAGTCTCAAAGATACTGTGCTGATTTTGAGACAATTCTATTTGTTGGAACCACAGAAAAACTAAAACATCCATCCTGAGCTCAGGATGGTACACTCTTTTCCCACATTTAGAGCCAAATGATCTTTCTATTCTCTAACTAAAACTTCTAGTGCCCCCCGAAAATAGTTTGAAGTTTCCAACCATTAAGAACAATCAATCTCAAAGTTCCTATCCTTTTGGGAAAGTTTCTACCCTTTTGGGAAAATCTCTTTTATGAACCACTGCATTCCTTACAAAAAAGATTTACAAGTGATTTTAGGACATATCCAAGAATATATAATACACACGGCCATTATCTATGGAGCTCTGCATCTCATGAGAAGACAGGTAATATGTTAGTAACTTCAAATGAGCCCTAAGGAGCTTTAAAACCTAACATGTTGATATAATATAATTTTCTAAATGAGTCTCCAAAGAGTAACTCTTTGCCACCATTCTTTCAAGATAAATCTCCAATAGAATTCATCCCATAATCATATCTATATTTCCATATGATATCACACTTGATCTTAGCCAAAAGGTTGCAAAGCTATATATCTGTATTTGTATCATCTAAAACTTGCTGTTCTGAAATGAGCAAACCAAAATACAAGCCTTCCATTGCATGTTCGCAGTAACCCTTGACTATGGAAAAATGATAGTTGACAGCAGTGAAATTTTCGAAGGCTTTCACGGCCGGCGTACGATGGCTGGTGTGGGTCTTCCGGGCTGTGTGGCCGTGTTCTGGAGGTTTTGTCCCCTACCGTTTCGCCAGCACCTGTGACCGGCATCTCCAGAGTGCAGGAGGCACAGAGAGAACTGCTCGTGTCTGTGCTCCTGCACTCGGAAG